AAGAGCACGAAGTGGCGTACAGTTGGCTCCGAGCATCCAAAATGTGGCCGGGGAATGGAGTTCTGGGAACTCGAAGAGCACGAAGTGGCTTACAGTTGGCTCCGGGCATTCAAACTGTGGCCCGGGAATGGTGTTCTGGGAAGTCCAAGAGCACGGTGGCTTACAGTTGGCTCCGGGCATCCAAAATGTGGCCCGGCAGTGGAGTTCTGGGAATTCGAAGAGCACGAAGTGGCTTACAGTTGGCTCCGGGCATCCACAATGTGGCCCAGGAATGGAGTTCTGGGAAGTCGAAGAGCACGAAGTGGCTTACAGTTGGCTCCGGGCATTCAAAATGTAGCCCGGGAATGGAGTTCTGGGACGTCGAAGAGCATGAAGCGTGAGACTGTTTGCTTAAAACGAGCCCGAGCCCGGGGGGTTCCTGGGGGCAACATGTGGTCTCGCTGGCGTTGGGTTCCGGCTTTGGGGTTTTTATTTCCTGCTACGCAGGTAGCCTGTGGCGTAGCCAGCCTGAGGCGTGGCGTGTGGGCGGTCGAGCTTAACCTCTCCCTTTCCGTAGATCCTTCAGGCGCTCCACTGAACGTTCCGACCAAGGCTCTTATGCGTCTGGGGCATCCCGACAGCGATGCATATTCGAGTTTAGGGTTTAGGGTCTGCATTAGCGCAAGCGCGCTGGCTGCGATCCCCCCCGCGTCAAGGTTGTTGGGGGGGATCGCTGCCCAAGCCGCGCGCGCCACGGTTAGTCGCACTCCCGCCCCAGACCACCCAGAGTGAAGCCTTTTAGGGTCTAGGGTTTTCTACCCCCCCCCCCCCCAATCAAGGGGGGCTTCGGAGTGGCGCGCGCAGGCGATCGGCGACGCGGCCGTGGCATTGCCTGCGCATCCACGTGAGCACGCGCGCAGGGCGCGTGGCGTAGGCGCTTCGGCTCGTCGCCACGTCGAAGAGGCAGCCGTTGGCGATGTCGGCGTTGAGCTTCGCCGTTGGGCTGCCGCTGGCGCAGCATGTCCATGCGTTGCCGCCTTTGCCTTCGGCACTGGGTTGCGACGCTGGGCTGCGAATGCTGGGAAGCGCGCGCGCGGCCGCGGCCGTGGCAATGCGCGCCCATGCGAGCACGCGCGCAGGGTGCATGGCGCCGGCGCGTCAGCTCGCCTCGTCGATGAGGCAGCCGTTTGCGCCTTCGGCAGGGGGCTTCGCCGTTGGGCTGCCGCTGGCGCAGCAGATCCACAGGGGTCCGACATTTGCCTTCGGCATTGGAAAGCAGCACTGCGAGGGCGCTGGCGCGGCAATCCCATGGGCCCCCGTGGGCCTCGAGCGAGTGTCTGCGCCGTCGGGCTCCTCGTTGACGGCGACGCGCAAGGCAGTTGCATTCGCCCGTGGCTTTGGGTTTCGCCTTTGGGGTCGCCCCCGCGCTGAAGCGATATGCAATCATCGACGAAGACGCTTTCGTCGCGAGCTTCGGATGGCGGGAGGGGGGGCGCGAGGGGGTGGGTCTGGCACCCCCTCGCTACGATGCGCGCGCATGGCTGCGGCAGCACCTCCATGGCAGACCCCCTGGAATGTCTGTGGGGATCTCTCTGGGAGCGCTGGGGGGGCGCCTGGAGCTTCCCCCAGGAACGCGTCGAGGGCGCTCTGAGCGCCCCTGCGCGGCGGGGGAGCGCCATGAAGCGACGCCAGGGAGCGCTGCAGAGTGCTTGCGAATGCGTGGGAACGCTTGGGAGCGCCATAGGGCCGCTTGGAACTGCCTGGGCACGCATGGGAGTGCCCAGGAGCGCGCGGGAGCGCATGGGAGCGCCGCGCGGCGCCTCGGAGCGCTTGTCGGCGCTGGGGAGCGCGCGGGAGCGCTTGGGAGCGCCCGGGAGCGCCTGGGAGCGCCTGGGAGCGCCTGGGAGCGCTTGGAGCGCTTGAAAGCGCTTGGGACCGTGCTGGGAGCGCCTGGGAGCGCGCCGGGAGCGCCTGGGAGCGCCTGGGAGCGCCTGGGGGCGCTTGGAGCGCTTGAAAGCGCTTGGGAGCGCCTGGGAACGCCCGGGAGCGTGCCGAATGCGCCGGGGAGCGCCGGGGAGCGCCTGGGAGCGCCTGGGGGCGCGCCGGCAGCCCTGGGAGCGCCTGGGAGCGCTTCGGAGCGTGCCGCGAGCGCCTGGGAGCGTGCCGCGAGCGCCTGGGGAGCTCTTGGGAGCTCCTGGGCGCGCCTGGAAGCGCCTGGGCGCCGAGGACGCCCGAAACGGCGCCACAGGTTGTATTTTCATATGGTTTGCGGCCCCACGGACGGCCGAAAGAGCGCCGCATACTTCATAGGTTTGGAGCCCCAGGGGATGGAGCCGACCGCGAGGCACCCGCAGGCTGCGGCTGAGGGTTAAGGGTTCCTTTCATTAAGCGAACAAGCGGCGGCCGCATACGCGCGTCGGGCGAATGCCTCCTCAGCGCTGCGCGCTTCGTCGGTGCCACGTACGTGAGTATTGGGCAGGCTCGCTGAGCGCTCGGCCAGACGCCACGGGCTACGGACGTTGCACAGCCCGTGGCTTGCAGTTTGGGGTTCGGGGCCTCCTGGGAGTCTCTTGGGAGCTTCTTGGAAGCTTCGTAAGGGTTATTTGGAGCCTCTGGGGGGCCTCTTTGGAGCCTCTTGGGGCCTCTTGGGGACGTCTTGGGCCGTCTCTGGGCGCTTTTACGCCGTCTGGCCACTTCGGAGGCCACTTTGGAAGCCTCTCGCGGCCGCCCTGGGGCTCTCTTGGGGTCCTCTGGGGCCGTCTTGGGGGCTTCTTGGGCCGTCTTGGAGTTTTTTTTTGCCGTTTCGGGGCCCTCTTGGGCCGTCTTGGGGCCCCCTTGGAGGCCTCTTGGGCCGCTTGGGGGCCTTCTTGGAGGTTGCTTGGGCCGTCGTGGCCTTCTGAGAGCCGAAAAAATGCGAGAACGCTGAAATTGTCGCAGAACTGTAGGACAATCGAAGATTTTGGCCTCTGGAGGCGCTCTCGGGAGTCTTCTTGGGGGCCTCTTGGACCTTCTTGGGGGCCTCATGGGCCCTCTTGGGGCCATCTTGGGCCGTCTTGAGGCCGTCTTGGGCTCTCTTGGGGCCATTTTGGGCCGTCTTGAAACCTTCTTGGGGCCCCAAGAGGCCCAAGAGGCCGACTTTGTTGATTTCTTATAGGTTTTTGTAGGTTCTGGGGCCCCAGAAGGGGCCCTCCACCTTTGGGTCGACGGAAGTGGCGCGACTCCGGGGCGGGGGGGGGTTGGGGGGGATACATAATAATGCAACACAATGCATTACGTGGCAATTACGAAGCATTGGACACATCGGATCCATTGCATTAGGGCTTCCGCTCCGCTGCGCGACCTGCCTCCGGCAACACGTCACTTCCGGACGTGGATTTCACAAGCGTGCGCCACATCCGCCGACCCCTTGGTGTTTCGGAGGGAATCATCTTGGGCGCCCAAGCGCTGTGCGCAGAGAGCAGAGCTTAGAAAGAAGCGTGGCTGGGAGGGGAGGGGGCTCTCGTGGGGGGTCCTTTTGGAACCGTCGCGGAGCGTCTACGACGGTCTCTGGGGGCCCTTCAGGGCCGTCTGCGGCGCCTTGCAAACCATATTGGGGCCATCTTTGGTTGGGCGGGGCCCGTGTTTGGCCGTATTGGGGCCATCTTGGGCGGTCTAGAGCCCGTCTGGGGGTCCTCTTGGGCTGTCTTGGGCGTCTCTTGGGCCGTCCCCAGGCCGCCAGGAGCCGTCGTGGGACCCTTCTGAAGGCCTCTTCGCCCGTCGATAGAACGAGTTTGCCAAACATGTCAGATTACCTTGTGGGAATTAGCAGATTTGGGCTTGTTGGCGCCCTCCTGGGGTGTCCTCATGGAGCCATCTTTGAGCCTCTACTGAGCCTCAGGGGGCCCTCCCTGGCCGTCCGCGGCGCCTTGTGGGCTGTATGGGGATCACCTCGGGCTGGGTGGAGCCTGTATTGGGGCCGTCATGGGGCCATCCTGGATGGTCTTGAGCCCGTCTCGGGGTCCTCTTAGGCTGTCTTGGACGTCTCTTGGGCCGCCCCGGTGCCGCCAGGAGCCTCTTGGCCCGTCTCGGGTCGCTGGGCAGGGAGTCGGAACGAGTTTGTGAAAAAGGTTAGTTTTCCTTTTCGGGAATGGGTGAATTTTGGTTTGTTGGCGCCCTCGCGGAGGGTCCTCAGGGAGCCATATTGGAGCCCCTATGGAGCCTCATTGGGGGTCCTCCTGGGCTGTCCCTGGCGCCTTGCGGGCTGTATTGGGGCCATCTTGGGCGGTCTTGATCTCGTCTCGGAGTCATTCTGGGTTGCCTTGGGCGTCTCTTGGGCCGCCCGCGGGGCCGCCTGGAGCCGTCGTGGAGCCCTCCAGGAGGCCTCTTGGCCCGTGCCGGGCCGCTGGGCAGGGCGTCGGAACGAGTTTGCCAAAATGCTGGCTTACCAAAAAAGATACAGGTGTTGGCTTGTTGGGGCTCTCGCGGGGAGTCCTCTTGGAGCCCACGGGTGGCGTCTTCGAGGCTTCGAGGGCTGTCTTGAAGTCGTGTCTGGGCGACTGGGTGCCATCGGAGATCGTCGAGCCATGCAGGACCATCTCTGAGGCGGCCGGGGCCGCCGGCAAATTCCGCATGTTGCAGTGGCAATGCGATGACTGGGTCTGCCATGTACCTTCAACGGCCAGTATGAATCGTGCTGGTCGTGCGGAGTGGATAGCGATCAGAGCATTGCGGCGACCAGCCAAGGACATGCAAGCGGAGGCAGGTGGACAGAGCGGTGTCGGAGCAGGCAGACGACGCACCTCGATCAGCAGCGTCGCGCAAGTCGCGCAAGTACAAGGGAGGAGGAGGATGAGGAGGAGGATGAGGAGGAGGAGGAGGAGGAGGAGGAGGAGGAGGAGGAGGAGGGGGAGGGAGGCGGGGGGGGGGGGGGGGAGAGGAGGAGGAGGAGGAGGGAGGAGGAGGAGGAGGAGGATGAGGAGGAGGAGGAGGGGAGGAGGAGGAGGAGGAGGAGGAGGAGAGGAGGAGGAGGAGACGGCCCCGAGGCGTCGAGAGAGGAGCAGCTGGAGGCGCAGCACACGCTGGAGCGGGTTCGCTCGGAGCTGTCGGAGGCCACCTGCGCCGCGGGGGGGGGGGGAAAGGAGGAGCGCAGGCTCCGAGGGGGGACAGTACACGGACATTGTATTCGAACCCTGTGGCCCAAGATGCCCCCCAGACCCCCCGAAATTAATGTTGATGGCGTGGCGACGGGGGGGGGGCGTGAGTGGACAGAAACATTCGACCCCCAAAGCACCACCTTTACTGAGATCAACGTTGATGTCGGGGGCGCGGGGGTGATTTAGAATCTCTCTCGAATGTGTAAGGGTTCGAATATATTGTCCATCTACTGCATCTCCCATGAGCGGTCGATTCTCGGCATGGACACGCTTGGCAAGGGATGGAACTACCGTGGATGTAAAAAACAAGCGCGAGACCAGATCATGGCGCTGAGATTCCGCCGCTCCAGGAGAGTGAGCGCAGCCCGGGCCACGACAACACGGAGCTCGCTCAAAAACCTGCACTCGTGGTCCACGTTTATTTTCTCTACATTTGCGGCGGTGGCCGCCGATCGTGCCCAGTTTGGACCCCGCGGACTTTGAATGACAAAATTCCCACGTTGCGAATCGGTTTCGCGTTATTTGCTTCCATCCACGGTAGGTATACGGTGGGGGGGCTGGGTAAGGAAGGTGCCCAGAAGGCAGACCCTGGAGGGTTCCTCGTCGGATGAGGGCGGCGGTAACATCCATGGCCAGTGCACGATTGGAGTTCCACCCGCTTCCAGGCAACCGACGGACAACGGAAAACAACCAGAAGCAAACAGTACCTGGCAGGCAAGGGGCAGCCGAGGGCCAGAGCGACCGGTGGCCAGCCGATGGGGCCAGGTGCGACCAGAGCAAGCGACGGACCGGAAAACAACCGGAAGCAAACAGTACCTGGCAGGCAAGAGGCAGCCGAGGGGGAAGCCTGCATCAGTCTTCAAGGGGAGCGCTGCATCCATCAGAGATGCAGGGCTTCGAGGCGCACGCGTGCCGCTGGGTATGGAAGGTGGATTGAACATGTCGCTGAACATGTCCATTGCCCTTCCCCTCCCGGTCCTCTTCTGTCCTTTCGACCTCACCTACCGGCGCAGGGGGGGAGGAAAAAGGGAGGAGGAGGAGTAAACTACATCCCCAGGCCGAAAGTTGTTTTTCCTCTTGGACCATCCTTTCTCGGGTGCCGACACAATGTATCCGGTTGGATCATTTTTCGGTTGTGCGACAGTCTAGTGGACCCTACTTCTGCGCTCGGCGGATTCAATTTCCCGTGTGGGGAAAACGGTGGATCTTTTTTCCCTTGGATGAAAGATAGAATAGCAATTTATATCCCGGACCGAGGGGAAATGATATTCACGGGGCACTGCACTTGGCACATAACGTTACGATTATACGGAGATGGGGTTCTCTCATCATCATCATCATCATCATCATCATCATCATCATCATCATCATCATCATCATCATCATCATCATCATCATCATCATCATCATCATCATCATAACAATCATCATCATCACATCACATCACCATCACCATCACAACACCATCACCATCACCATCACCATCATCTTCACCCATCACCAGCATCATCATCACCATCATCACCATCAGCATCACCACCATCATCACCATCATCATCATCATCATCATCATTACCACCACCAGCAGCTCGAGCGTCACTGCGGGCTCTCGCCCACTCCCAGAACACCCCCACACCATTGGAAGCAATAGAAGGCTCTTTTTGTCATTGCGGGCCCCGCCGACTCTCAGAACTCAGCCCGAGCGCCACAGCGGGCGCACATCCACTCGCGTCCTCCGTGACGGTGACATGCAAGCTCGACCGTCACTGGGGGCCCCCGCGTGGCCTCTCGAGCTCAAGAGGAGAATCCTTCGGCCCGCGGAAGTGGGATCTCGAAGCCTTTCGAGCTCAAGAGGAAGATCCTTCGGCACGCAGAAGTGGGATTTCGAACTCCGGCTCCCCCGCCAACTTCTTCCCGTTCGTCGCTCTCTTCCGGCATCGGCCACCCTGCTCGGGCCTCCGGGGACGCCAGCGGTCGGGTGACGGGGCAGCGCGACAGCGCTGCTGGCACGATCGACCTCAGGAGGGGAAAAAACACGGACGTAATCATCATACCTACCGGTGTGATCTCGCACTGCTTTATTTCGACCGACCGTGTGCCCATAATGCGGTCGTGCTGGTGGTTGTGCTGGCGGCCGTGCTGGTGGTCGTGGTTGGTGGACGTGCTGGTGGTCGTGCTGGTGGTCGTGCTGCTGGCCGTTCTGGTGGAGGTGCTGGCAGTCGTGCTGGTGGTCGTGCTGGTACTTGTGCTGGTGGTCGTGCTGGGAGGTGCTGGTGGTCGAGCTGGTGGTCGTGCTGCTGGCTGGTCGTGCTGGTGGTCGTGCTGGTGGTCGTGCTGGTGGTCGTGCTGGTGGTCGTGCTGGGCTGGTGGTCGTGCTGGTGGTCATGCTGGCGGTTGTGCTGGTGGTCGTGCTGGTGGCTGGTCCCGTTGGTGGTTGTGCTGGTGATCGTGCTGGCGGTCGTGTTGGTGGCCGTTCTGGTGGAGGTGCTGGTGATCGTGCTGGTGGTCGTGCTGGTGGTCGTGCTGGTGGTTGTGCCGGTGGTCGTGCTGGTGGCTGGCCGTGCTGGAGGTGCTGGTGGTCGTGTTGGTGGTCGTGCTTGGTCGTGCTGGTGGCTGGCCGTGCTGGAGGTGCTGGTGGCTGGTCGTGCTGGTGGTCTTGCTGGTGGTCGTGCTGGTGGTCGTGCTGGTGCTTGTGCTGGTGGTCGTGCTGGCGGTCGTGTTGGTGGCCGTTCTGGTGGAGGTGCTGGTGGTCGTGCTGGCGATCGTGCTGGTGGTCGTGCTGGTGGTTGTGCTGGTGGTCGTGCTGGTGGCTGGGCGTGCCGGTGCTTGTGCTGGTGGTCGTGCTGGCGGTCGTGTTGGTGGCTGTTCTGGTGGAGGTGCTGGTGGTCGTGCTGGTGGTCGTGCTGGTGGTTCTGCTGGTGGTCGTGCTGGTGGCTGGCCGTGCTGGAGGTGCTGGTGGTCGTGTTGGTGGTCGTGCTGGTGGTCGTGCTCGCGGTCGTGTTGCTGGCCGTCCTGGTGGAGGTGCTGGTGGTCGTGCTGGTGGTCGTGCTGGCCCCTCCCCCTCCCCCCCTGCGCCCCCCTCCCCTTATTCCGACCGACCGTGGGCCACCCCCCCCGCTTCTCCCCTGCGCCCCCTTCCCATTATTCCGACCGACCGTGGGCCACCCCCCCCGCTCCCTCCCTGCGCCCCCCTCCCCTTATTCCGACCGACCGTGGGCCACCCCCTCCGCTCCCCCCTTGCGCCCCCCTCCGCTTGTTCCGACCGACCGTGGGCACCCCCCCGCTCCCCCCTTGCGCCCCCGTCCCCTTTTTCCGGCCGCCCGTGGGCCACTCCCCCCGCTCCTCTTCTGCGCCCCTCTCCCCTTATTCTGACCGACCGTGGCCCCCCCACCGCTCCCCCCCTGCGCCCCCGTCCCCTTATTCCGACCGACCGTGCCCCCCCCGCCCCCGCCTCCCCCCCTGCGCCCCCCTCCCTTTATTCCGACCGACCGTGGCCCTCCCGCTCCTCCCCTGCGCCCCCCTCCCCCGTCTATTCCGACCGACCGTGGGCCACCCCCCCCGCTCCTCCCCTGCGCCCCCCTCCGACCGACCATGGGCCACCCCTCCTGCGGCCACCCCCCCGTTCCCCCTTGCGCCCCCCTCCCCTTATTCCGACCGACCGTGGGCCCTCCCCCCCCCGCTCCTCCCTGCGCCCCCCTCCCCTTATTCCGCCGTGGGCCCACCCCCCGCGCCCCCCCGCCCCCTTCCCTTATTCCGACCGACCGTGCCCCCCTCCCCCGCTCCCCCTCTGCGCCCCCCTCCCCTTATTTCCGACCGACCGGGTGCCCCCCCCCCCCTCCCTCCCTGCGCCCCCCTCCCTTATTCCGACCGACCGTGGGCCCTTCCTCCGCTCCCCCCCTGCGCCCCCTTCCCCTTATCCCACCAGCCCTCTGGGCGTAGGTGGTCTAGAGCAGATCCTCTTCCACCCCTCCCTCTTCCCCCTTGGGGAGGGGTTTACCCCTCCCCCTACCCCCTCCCCTGGACCTGGACGGGGGGGGCCGCGGGTAGTTAGAGCGTCCAAGATGGCCCAAGACGGCTCCAAGAGCGCCTCAGAGAACCCAAGATGAGCTCCAAGATGGCTCAAGATAGCGCAAGATCGCTCACGATGGCTCCTAAGATGGTTCCAAGAAGCCCAAAGACGGCCCCAAGATAACTCCAAGTGGCCAAACAGCTCCCCAAGGAGGCCCCGAAGAGGCCAAAATCGTCCCAAAACCTAAGGAAAATCAATGATTTTTGCTTTCTCGCCTTTTCGCTTCCGATGGCTATCCGAGGCCTGGAGATGGCTCCAAGATGGCCCAAGAGGGCCCCAAGAGAGCCCCAAAAGAGCCCCAAGACGGCCCCAAGAGCGCCCAAGAGCACTCCAAGAGCGTTCCAAGAGGGGTCCAAGAGGCGATTTTAGGGGCTTCCGAGGGGGGGCGCTAATTAAACCCCCCCTCTTGTTTGATCGACTCCCTCCAAGATGGCCCCAAAAGCGCCCCGAAGGCTCCCCAGAGCGCCTCAAGAGGGTCCCAAGAGGCGCCCAAGATGCCCCAAGGCGCCCAAAAAGCCCTCCAAGAGGCCCTCAAAAGACCCCCAAGAAGCTCCTTCTCCTCCTCCTCCTCCTCCTCCGATTCTTCCTCCTTCTCCGTCCTCCTCCTCCTCCTCCTCCTCCTCCTCTTCCCCCTCCACCTCCTCCTCCTCCGACGACGACGACGACGACGACGACGACTCCTCTTCCATCCTCCCCCTCTCGGGGTCTGTGACAGCTTCCCCCGCCCTTTGTTATTCTGCATGCTCCCCGACTTCCCTGATCACCTCAACTCCCCTGAGCATCGTTTCTGGATGGGCTGGTGGGGATACGCGAAGCGTCAACAATTCCGACCGACCGTGGGCTCCCCCCCCCCCTCCCCCCCTGCGCCCCCCTCCCTTATTCCGACCGACCGTGGGCACCCCCCCCCTCCCCGCTCCCCCTTGCGCCCCCCTCCCCTTATTCCCACCGACCGTGGCCCCCCCCCCCGCTCCCCCCCTGCGCACCCCCTCCCCTTATTCCGACCGACCGTGCGCTCCCCCCCGCTCCCCCCCTGCACTCCTCTCCTTATTCGACCGACTGTGCCCCCCCCCCCCCCCCCGCTCCCCCCCCCTGCGCCCCCGTCCCCTTATTCCGACCGACCGTGCTCTTAGGTGGCCCTGAGGGCGGCGCCCAGGAGGAACACCATCTCTGACCCGATTTGCCCAGGGCTGGCTCGGAGTACTTTTCGTCTGGGGACCCCCAGGGACCCCCCCGCGCGCGCGCGAACTAGAAATATTCGGAAGAAGTTCCCGGAGATCTTAGCACGCCCGTGGCCCATGGGGCCGGCGACTTTCTTCGCAGGATGCGACAGGGCCCAACGCACCCTGACCTCTGCAAGCGCCGTGGGGGGTTCCATAGCCGTGGCGATTCTTTCTGTAGCCGTTTTGGCTCTACCATGCCGCCTTCCGTCGTGAGGAAGCGGCCGGCCGCGGGCTCCGCGCTCCCTCCGCGGCCTGCCCGCAGTGTGGCGCGACGTCGCCCTGCTGCCGCCCCCACTGCAGCCCTCTTATCCAAGCCAGACGCTGCCCCACGCAAGCGGCGCCGCAACGCTGCGTACGCCGCCAAAGAAGCAGCCCGAGAGAAGGCGCGCCGCGCTGCTGCCACCGCCGCGCAAGCCGCGGCAGCTACTGCAGGCGCCCCCGCACCCCACCCGGAGGCTGCCCGATGCGCCAAGAGGCGAGCTGCTATCACCGCCGCGCAAGCCGCGGCAGCTACTGCAGGCGCCCCTGCATCCCACCCGGAGGCTGTCCGAAGCGCCACGAGGCGAGCAGCTGCTCCTGCAACGACCACTGCCGGCGACGCCACGCCGCTGGACTTCACTGAACGACTACATTCTGAATCTGGATACCAGGTGTCACGACATTCCAGACAGCTCCGCCATCGGGACGCCGCGACGGCGCCACCTTCTGACGACGCCCTCTTCGACCAGATAGCCAACGACGTTCGCACTTTCTGTACCGTTACGGCCGATGACCAACGCAGAATGGTCCGAGCTTACTCCGCGAAGATGGATCATGCCGCTCCTCTCCCTGGATGCGGTTCCTGCGGTCGCCGCGACCCTGCGTTCCCTGCCACGGAGCGCGTTCGGCTCGAAGACTTGCCTCCCGACCATTGGCTCTTCCTCACGCATGACGAATGCAGAGACCTCGACGCCATGCCTGCGGTGACTTTCTGCGAGGCTGACGGCTCCACGCGCACCGTCGAGACCAAAAGCATCCGCAGCTATGTCTCCATCGGCGCCTCCGCGAGGCTGCACCTGCACCCGGAGCTCACGCGCACCATGCCGGACGGTGGCCACGAGACGTTTCTATGCGAGAGTTGCGCGCGGCCGCTGTCGGATCCGGCGGCCGCTCCGCCTTCGCGATCCTTGGCTTCGGGACGGGATTTCGGGCTGCTTTCTCGAATCGGGCTCGAAACTCCTTCCGAGGCTGAAGCCCTTGCCCTCGCAGACGTGCGCCTCTACAGCCTCGTGGCCAAAATGCATGTCCCTGGACAGCGCTCCAGCGCAGCATCTAGGTCTGTCCTCAAGGGCCACATGATCGCATTCGTCCACGACGGGCCCACCGCCATCGAAGCCCAGTTCAACGCCGCCCGACTCCGCAACGTACTGGAGCACATCCAGGTGGTCTACGTCGGCAACACCGACCGAGTCACCAACCTCGAACGCCACGCTCTTTCCATGAAGAGCGTGCAGATGCGACCCCATGTACTCTACAACCACCTCTCGCTACGCCGCGCCCTCGGACACGTGGCCTCCACAGACGCATCCCCTCCGATTGCGCACATCGCAGCCTCGCTGGCTGACAGGTCTGCTTCTCTGTCAGCTCGCTCCCGTCACGCGGACACAGACGACGTAGAAGAGGCCAGCCGGCCATCGGATATCGCCAACGTCAGGGACGTCGCCATGGACGACCTCCACCAGGACGCTTCCACTCTTCCACCGAACCTGCGCGTTCATTCTTCGTTGGCCGCCCGAGCCCCCCCCCCTGGGGGCGGCGAACAACACTGCGCTCTCCTGCTCCCTGCTTCCTCGAGCTCCCCCCGACTTCGCAACCTTTCCCTTTTACCACGTCGCCACCTCCGCCCAGTTTCTGCCCCTGGCCCTGCACAATGGGCCCCGAAGCGTGCACGCGCAGATTCAGTGGAATCGTGATCCACAGGATACCGTCCTCGGACAACCTACCGAGCCCCAGGGCGACATTCACGCAGAGCCCACGCTGTCCTTGGACCCAGTTGGCGTCTTCTTACAATCCAGCGACGCCGTGGCTGGCAGTATCTTTGATGGTCTCGTAGACACCCTTCGAGCGTCCAGCCGACCCCGAGGACATCCACGACGAACGCCAAGAGCAACTGGATGCTACCCCTGCTGGCCCACCCTCTCACGCCTCCGCCTGTGGCCCGCCACCCACGAAGTGCCGACGACTGAAGCGCCCCATGAACGAGTTCACCAACAACGCCGACTTGCTGTACGGCGCCTTCTGGTTCCTCTTTCCGTTGCGGGCCGGCTTGGTTTCTCAGGGCCCCTTGAGCATACACGACTCCAGACACATACTCACCCAGTTCCACAACGGCTTCGCCCATTGCCACATTTTCATATTCCTGCTTGCGAACCAAATACAACGCCACGCTGCTGCCAGGGGGGTCGCTCTGCGCGTGAAGACGGACCCTTTCAGCTTCAAAGCCTTCGCAGACATGGTCGCCGACAAAGATGTCTACCTCGACCGACTGGACCGCGCGAAGGCAGATCCCACCAGTGAAGAGGCCCGGGCGCTACTCAAGCAAGTGCTCCGGTTCGTGGCGTCATCTGGTAAGACCATCCCCTGGAGCGGTGAGGAAAGAGCTTCTGAAATCACCAAGCTCTACGCTTTACAAAGGAGGTTCGGCCCCTTCAGCTCCTTCCTGACCGTGGCCCCGGACGACGTGCACCAGCCTACCTCTATCCGCTTGTCTTATCGGCACGCGGGAGACCCTAAAGGAGCTACCACACTCTTGACCTCTCTCCCCCTGCCCCCTCAGGGAACCCTCCCCCCGCGACTTCTTGCCTGGGCCCTCGGGCCTCGAGCCCTCGTTCCGATTCCTGAGTTTGGTTCCGAAATTTGATTTTTCAAAGAAAACTCAGATACCAGCCTTCTCTGGTCCCCCCGAGAGAGCCCAGGCCCCCAGCATCTCCTGTAAGAAGATAACCCAAAGAAAAACATTGCGCTTTCTCCGGGCGGACGCTCCCGGACGCTCAAAACCCCGAGGGCTTTTAAACATTTTATTCGTCATCGCGGTTGAGAACCGCGCGTCTCTGGCTTCAAACGCGTGCGCTGGAACAGAAAATCTTTCAAAAACCATTGGTTTTCGACGCGCCAGGGGCGTCCGGCTCGGGAAAACAGACGTTTCTGAAACGGTTTCAGCCGAAGGAGCGCGCAGCCTCCACAGGATTCCACAGGAGTCCGCGGGACCCCCCAGGAGCCCCCAGGATTTCCCGGCAACCCCCGGGCTGGACATTTCATCGGGTGCGAGTCATGCATCTAAGTGTGAGTCGTCTTCCACGACCCCTTCAGGTGCGGCCAGCCGCACCAATGGCCCGCCGACGAAGCTGGCCTACTGCGCGTCCTTCGCAAACAGGGCAACGAGGGGGACGTCTCCGCGTTCTCCGAGAAGTCCGCGCCGCACTGCGCGGACGAGTCGTACGCGTTCTCCATGGGCGAGGCATTCCTGCAGCGCTTGGCGACTCTGAATCCCGTGGCAACCACGTTGCTGTGGGAACAGAGGGCGGAGGCTATCTTCACGGAGCTCGTGGGCATGCCGCAGCACCACAAACGGAGGAAGTCGCAGCTCATCGACGAGAACATCCCCCACCGTGGCATCTTCGGAACCCCATGGGCCTGGCATTTCGTGACCGAAACAAACGGCCGCAAGTCCTTCCACTTCCACGCCGGTGTCATCGCAGGGGCCTCTCCTACATTGTTGGCCGACGTGGCTGGGTACCCACGCTTGGAGGCCGCTGTGCACGCAGCCCTGGACTCGATGTATACGGCCCACGTGCCAGCCGACTTGCACGCCATCGACGTGGCCCGCCGGGCGTTGCGTATACCAGCGGAGCGTCAGACTTTCTTCCAGACCACCGACACGCCCACCCCAGAAGCCGTCCGAGAGTTTCACATAGATGCCGCCATCACAGCTCTTACCACTGGACTACATACACACGCGGCCACCTGCCACAAAGGCAAAAATGGCAAGCTCGGGTGCCGCATGGCGAAACCCTCTGGACACCCCGTCCCCCAGTCTCGCGTCCTCGCAATCCTGCCCGACGAACCCGCGCAGGGCACCGTGGACTGCTCTTGCAAGTACTGCACCCCAGGATACGACCCGAAACAACGACCAGCGACTGCACTTTGGGCTCGCAGGCCTCGCCCTGGTGATGGGGCTGCCAACGTCGTCCTCTCCTACGAGCACGCTCGCCCACACGTGGAACCCGATTCAGGCCGGTTGCGCGACATCATGAACATGCCCCGCGCCGATTTGGAGTCACTGGATCCCTCTGCAGCGCACGGGATGTTCCGAGACGTGTGCCGCGAACTCAGCAGCCTTTTGTCCAGACCTACTCAAGGCCGCAACCTGAACGACTGCCTCAATTCATGTAGTCAAGACAACGCTCGTGCCATCCTTCTCGCTTGGCACGGCATGCGACGCCGAAATGCGGCCCTCGTGGAGTTCAGCCCCACCCTCTCGGGACGCGTCCGGAGCAACACCGCACCTCTGCACCTCGGTGCCGGGGAGGCTGCGAAGGGAGCCGGCATGTACATGGTGAAATACCTCGTTAAAGAGGCTTACGATCTGGCAGCCTCGTTATCCGCATTGGCGGACGCTCGTCGTCACATTGACCTCTACCCGTCCTCGGCTGACGACGCAGGCACCGCAGCACGGTGCACTCGCCACTTCCTACAACGAGTTCTCAATTCCAGTGCCGCCGAGCTTGCCCCGACACAGGCGGCTGCGATCGCTCTCGGCGTCGCGTCAAGCGGACGTTCTCACACATACGTCAATGCCTACGTGTGGGACGCCGTCCACCTCAGACGTCTATTGCCCACCGGGGTCTCCCTGCTGTCATCTTCGTCCTCCGACAACCCTCCGCCCGCCCCCGATCCGCCCGACAGCGAGGATTCGCCCTTGGGCCAACGCGATGCCGACGCATGCGCTGGCGACCCTGACGACGTCGACGCGGCAGACGAATGCGACCATCCACGCCGAGGCACCTGCAGCATCTACACCACTTCAGACGGAACGCCGATTGCATTATCGCAGGCTGACCACTACGCGCACCGGTCCCAACAACTCGCCGACCTCACTTTCGACGAGTTCGTCATGGGGATGCGCATCCAGAAAGTCTCCGCGGAACAGAGGGCAAAGATAGCCGCCGAATCGGGCAAGAGGGGCCGCCCTACGAACCCGAGCTTCGAACTCGAACCGCCGCACCCTTTGGCGGGCCAGTACGTCATCAGGGAAAAATCCAAATTCGACGTGCCGGTGTTTGTCGGAGCTCCTCCGCCCCGTCTCCCCCCGATTCCGCTCCGCGCAACAAGGCGCGCCAGCGTATGGAGGTGGCCCACGCCGAGTACTTCGCCGCGCTCTTCGCACCTTGGTCCGCGGCCCAACTGGAGACCGCGACCCCGACCACTTGGAGCGCTTATCAGCGCCGCCTGGAGGACGCGGCTCACGGCTCCGCGCCTCCTGCATCCGACTCCGTGCGGCACGGGAAGAGTCAGAGAATCGCGGAGGGCCGCTTGTTCCGCATCCACCATGTGGCGACAGCCCTCACGTCGAATGCCCGGAAGACAGATATTATGAGCAAATGGCGCATGCGAGATCGCACTCTGTGGTCCGAAACGACCTCCTGTCCAGACGTAGCCCTTCCCCCTGGCCGCAGCAAGGATCAAGAGACCGACGCCGCCGCAGACATCCGCAACTTACGCGACGCTGCCAGCGCCGACGTCAACTCCAGAGCCATGAAACGAGCTGCTGCAATGGAATCCTGGGCGGACGACATTACCGACAGACTACCACCACTACCCGACGTACCATCCACGCCGGATCCTCGGTCACATTGGCCACGGGGGGCTCCGACCAAGGACGGTCATCCCGTCCACCATTTCCCAAGTGGCTCCACCGACATCGCCTCCTTCCTGGCAGACCTCGAGCAGCCTCGACGCAGGCCTTCCGACGACGCCAACACACCGAGCCACGTGGACCATCCCGTCGCAGACGCCTCCCCGGAGGACGGCGACCCACCAGAGTTCGACCCTATCGACGACGAGACCTTCATGCGTCTCGCACGCAACTGGGAATCAGACCTCCGTAACACGCCACCCGGAGGCTGTCCCCCCCGCCTCCTCTCAACCCCCAACAGCGTGCTTTCGCAAGACAGCATTTGGCATTACATCGCCACCTCGCTGCCGGCCGCCAACGAGGTGACGACCCCCACGACACACTCGCTTCTCTCCGACAGCAAGGGCTCCGGCAAGTGCATCTGCTCCAGGGAGCTGGGGGTCGAAAGAGCGTGCTCTTGAAGGCGATGCACGCCGTCTTACGACGCCTGCACTTGGGACACATGGCCATCACAGCCTGGACGGGAGTCGCATCTGCGCCTTTTGGGGCGCCGACGCTGTGTTCTTTACTGAAAATTGACTTCACTTGCCTGGCTGAAGACCGCCCCGTGGACGCTGACACGTTGCAGCTCCTCCGCAAGGACTTCGCCGACGCCATGTGCGACCCGGCCGACCTGCTCGTCTTCGTCGTCGACGAGGCCAGTTTTCTCGTCCCGGCAGCCTTACACCACATCGACCTTCAACTACAACGATTACGCGGTGTCCACGGCGTCCCTTTTGGAGGCGTCGCCCTCATCCTGGCAGGGGACTTTTGGCAGAAACCGCCTCCGAGCTCCACGACGCTCGCAGAACTCCTCGCCAGCGCTGACGTGCCTGGCCTATCGAGGCCAGTCCGGCACTCCCCCATGAGCACATCAGATAAGGGCCTCGAGATATTCCGACGGGCTCGCCGCACTGTTCTGACGCAGCAGATGCGAGCTGCCGACGACCCTGGTTTCCAGACGGATCTGCTGCAGCTCCGGGACACGACCCCTGGCGCCCCGGTTCCAGCGAGGTTGACAGACTCGCTCCGCGAGGTTTCCACCCACGACATCCAGACACATCCTGCGTGGTCTTTCGCTCCCATCTGCGCCCTGTCCAACTTCGAGCGGTACCTTCTCAACAGGATCCAGGCCGAGCGCTTTGCCAGGACGCACTCTCTACCCTTAATCCGATGGCGATACCCCTTACACGGACGCCACTGCTCTATGCTACCAGCTGATGTCCAAGACGGCCTTTACGAGAACGAGCCAGGCATGTGGGGATGCTTCGTGCGCGGGGCCCCGGCCATGCTGCTCGCCAACATCCAGCCCACCAAGTTCTGCGTCAACGGGGCCATGGGTTTCCTGCACTCCCTCAGCTTCGACGGCGATGCACCGGGAGTGTTCTTGGACGCTGTTGCACCTGGCGGCTTCCGGGAGATTATCCTCGAGGAGCCCCCTGCCTCTATCAACGTCCAGATTTCCTTGCCCGCTGGCGAAGACGGCGCTGGGATCGAGACCCTCGTTCCTGGGTCCGTGGTCGTTCCCATCGCATACACCTCCCACGTCGAGGACTACGACGCCACCTCGTTGTTCAGCATCCTCAAGCGCGCGCCCAAGCGCACCCGCATACGGTGTCACGCGGTTACGCTGGCGTTCGCTTGCGCGGATTATAAGCTACAGGGCAAGACGTGCGACGAGTTGGTGCTCAGCGTGGCCAGGCGACCTTGGCCGCCCCATTTGGACAGAAAAGGCTTCTACGTCGCTGTCAGCAGGGTACGCGCCAAGGCTCGCCTGCGGGTGCTTCACCGACCGTCTTCGGAAGCCGGGGGACTGCACCATTTGCGCAACTTGCCGCCTGCCCGAGAACTTCACGCTTGGAACGCCGGGTACGATGCAGATGGAGATTGGCAACCCTCCCTCGCCCATGCGGCGGCGTCTGGCGCACCATCTACCCGACAGCGTCCACCGCGCGCCCCTGCGCGGGCACCGCGTCCACGACCAATGGCGGGAGGGGCATAATTGGTACGAGTACCCGCACGCCGGTGAAGAGCCCTCCACGCGAGGGCCGCCACCTTGACGCACGCCAGCAGTGTCGCCGCATTGTCCTTGCATTACTTGCGAGCGACAACTGTGCTGCCAATTCGACGCCTTCTACCTTAGCAGATCAGAGTCAGCGCGCTTCCCCAGCATTGCGCGAAAAACAGTGCCCAACATTTCGTCCATCGCCATCTTGATCATAAGGAATGCATTGCTCACCCATGCCAAATATTGCCCCCGATTTTTGTTCGATCTCTTAGCGTGGCAGCATCCCCGCAAGCTCCCTGGCCCCAAGGATACCCGGGCGCACCAGACGCCATAGTGATTCAGAGGCCGCCGCCTGCCTACCAGACTTTCGCTTAGAAATTTGATTTTTCGGACCCGAAGTCAGCTTCTGTGCTCGCCCCGCCCCATCGCTGTCCCACCACATTCCAATCTTGCTGCCCTTTCTTTGAGGGCCTCGCGCGCATTGCACCAGCCCAACAGGTGCTTCGCGGCCCCCCTTGCCTCAGCATCAGACTTCTAACGAGAGCTTTGATTGCCCCTCAACCGTCGATCTCGCCCAGCACTCGCTCTCAGATTGAGCCTGCCATGGCGGACAAGCTCGAGACTGTGAACGAGCGCAACTGCGGTGCCAAGACCATGCACGTGCGAGTGCTGGACCCGATGGTGCGCAAAACCAAGAAGGACTGCGAGGTCTTCACCTGCAAGCTGATCAGCGAGAGTGGCCTCTATTGCACAGCCGAACATATGATCTTCGGGGGCTCGCCGGCGGCGCGCACGAGAGTCAGCAAAGCATTGACGACCAAGTGGACCGCGAAATCCGCGTGGTCTCTCTCCAAGCTGAAGCTTGTGCGCAAGAAAGAGGCCTTCGACGGGAGCCCGCACTCATGCGTACTTCAGCTGAACAACACACGAAAGCATTGGACGCGCCGGAGGCCAACAAGCTGCCGGACGAGCTGGAGCCCCCCGTGGGAGTCCAGGATGTCCTCGACCTCTCGCAGGACCGGGCGATCGACCTCCACGGGTTCGTCTCGGATGTTTCTCCCGAAGCCCAATTCAAAGGCAAGAACTTGGTGGAGGCCACGGTCTGCAACGAGGCCGGAAGCAGCATCACCTTAAAATTTTGGGAGGAGAACGTCCCCCGCGCAGAGCAGCTGCAGAAGAAAGAGCCCATCTACATCTACGGAGCGTACTTGGTCCACCCCGACAGCGGCGGCGTGTGCCTGTCAGTCCGGGAGTCCACGTCCTTCGCCGCGCCTACAGGCACGCGCCCCAAGATAGCGGCCATGCTCGCCGGCGGCGTTCGCGACCTCGCCAGCGACCAGATCCAAAGCCTGACCGTCTATGAGGCCAAGGACTACAAGGCGCGGCCTGCCGCCCCCCCTTTATCGTCTGCCTGGCCCCTGCACAATGGCTCTGTCCCGCGGCCCCCCCGCGCAGCACCCGGCCAACCCCCATCCCGCAACTCGAAACCCCATTGGTGCCCCCCTTCCAGAGTTTGATCCTGAAACCAACCATTTCTCAACGAAAATCTGGCCCCAGCCGGCCGCCCGTCCGGAGCCGTTCTCCGCCCCAAAGTTTCGCTGAGACATGGCGCTCTCGCCGAGCGCACCCCCCCCCCGATGTGCCCCCCAAGGTCGGGCCCGCCACCAGCTCCAACGCGGCCGTCCTGGACGCGCTCCTTCAGAGCAAGACGACGCCCCCGGACACCCTGTTCGAGATCCCGGCAGCGTCATTCCCCCTCAGCGACACGGAGACGCTCTTGACAAAAGATGGGGCCCGCGTCTGGGCATCCGTGCGCATGGTCGACCTCGCTGGGTCCGTGGAGGCCAAGGTGACGGAGAAGGTCGCCCTCGCGCTGACTGGCTGCACGGACAAGGCGGAATTCCAGGCCGACGTTGAACAGGGGTCCGTGACGTGGGCCCGGGCGCGCGTTCGGGCCACGCTGCGCGCCCCGAAGAGCGTTGATGGCGACAAGACGAGCACGGACCCCCACCTGATCATCGCGCGCGCGGACCCCCGGAACTTCGACGCCGTCGTCCCGCTGCCCGCCCCGCACAGCGACAGCCGCGTCGTTCCCACGAACGCCCGCAGCATTTCCTTGAGCACCACCGGGAAGCTGACCATCACCATCGGCTCCGCGCGCTTCCTCGCGAGCGGCGCGCTCCTCCTGGTAGAGGCCACGAAAGACCCCGAGACCGTGCCGCGCGAGGGCGGCTTCGCGATCACCAACTACATCGTGGACGCGGCGGAGAGCGACTCCGACCAGAAAGCCGTCTTCCACGCCGTGACTGCCTGCGCGACGAAACGCTTGGGCCGCTACGCGCTCACGAAGAAAGACCAGGCGCTCATCGTGGTCACCCACTTCGACGCCGCGACGTCCGAGTTTACCGTGAGCGACATGTGGAAGTTGCCGCCCAGCATCACGCCCGACGCGTTCAGGGCCGAAATTGCTGCTGCAGGTGAGACTCTGACCAGTCGCCTCACGCGCGCCAAGCGCAAGGCCGACCCCAAGGCCGAGGACAACTTCGACGAGTTCCTCGGGCCCGCGGTCAAGCGCATCCACGAGGCGTTCGGCGACCCGGCCGCGCCCGCGGAGTGAGGCGACCTCCAGCGCAGCTTTCCTGCGCGCGCGCGTGGCGTCGAGGCCCCCGACCCCTCGGATTCGATGCCGAGCTTCCATGCTGCCCCATGAGGCCCCGTCATCTGTCTACCGCCGGACCAGTGGCCCCCGTCCTGCGCCCGCCCCGCGGCGCAATGTTTGGATCCGAAAACTTGAATTTTCCCCCCAAAGTCCGGTCCCAGCTCGCTGGCCGTCTGAGCCCGCCTGCTACCCCCCCACCCCACACCACAGATTTCCATTGGGAGACGGCCATCTCATCAAATACATCTGGCACCCGCAACTGCCCCCCCCCTCGCCACCCAGATCCTGGTCTCCTTCCTCCTTGCCAGGCCGACCCACGCATTGAAACCTCCATGTCGTCCGTGGTCCCCCACATCTCAAAGCATCTCCCAACACCGTTTGCCCCGGCATCGAAGCGCGGCGTCCGCGCCGCATCTTCCCAAGCATGGCCGCGAGGATTGCTTGAGATATAAAACGCATCTTTCAGCGCGTTCCCGCTCGGACGCCGCGGCGTCGAGCTGGTGGGATTCGCAGCGTCCTACCCGCCAGGCCGCTGTTCGGACAAAACTCAAGCCCCACTTTCCTTTTCTCCCTGCTCTGCCTCCTCCCTCGTCCTCCTCCCTCCTCCTCCTCCTCCCTCCTGATCCCCGCCCGCTCCCCCTCCCCTTCCCCTCCCCCCCCCCTTTCCCAGCCCCGGACAAAAGGGGAAAGGGGACAATCCTGGAAGCACGCTGGGCCAACAGAGCCCGGGCAGGGACAGCCCGCGGCGAGACCAAGTGCCAAAAACCACCCCCACTGCACAGTAAATTACTAGCGAGGCCCCCGCCTCCTCGCAGCAGCAGCAGGAGAAGGAAGGAGAGGCCATCTTGGAGGCCTCGTGGGAGCCGTTTGGGCCCACCTAAGGCCGTCTTGGGTGCATCTTGGGCCGTCTTGGAGGCATTTTGGTACCATGTTGGCCGTCTTGGAGGCCATCTTGGCTGTGCTGGCTGCTCTTATCTGGCTGGTCTGGTTGGTCTGGCTGGCACGTCTGGTCCCAGCTGTTGTGGCTGGACTGGTCAGTCTGGCTGGTGTTGCTGGTCTGGCTGGTCTGGCTGGCACATCTGATTCTGGCTGTTTTGGCTGCGCTGCTCAGTCTGGCTGGTTTTGTTGGTCTGGCTGGTCTGGTTGGTCTGGCTGGTCTGGCTGGTCTGGCTGGTCTGGTTGGTCCGGAATCTGTGACGGCAGCGCCGTTGTCCGCAGGCGTCCAGCCTCGTTTCACTTGGAAAAACATGGGAGGAATCGACAAAGCCCCGCCGGAAAAAAAAAAACAGCTAAACCAGTGTTTTTTTTCAAGCACGGTTTTGCGCGACAGCGCTGCGTTTTACCGCTGTCCGCGCGTTGCCGCGGCCGCGGGCGGGGGCATTGCCGTCGCAGAGTGTTGGCCGCCGTCCAGACGGCCAGCCCGACGTCATGTCTCGCCGTGTCTCCCTGTTTCTTATTTTTCCATTCAAACCCCACTCCCTTTCTCTCCCCTCTCCCCATTCCCTTCTATATGCGTGCATTTTTTCGTTGACGTCTCCCGTTCGGCAGACAAGGTTATCTTCAGCAACGCTCGGCTACAGGATGTCGGAGGCTGTCTAGAGCCATGCTCGGCTATCTTGGGCCGTCTTGAGACTGTCTTGAGACATCTTCGAGGTCCGCCTCTCTCTGCACATAGTTCCCGCATCGTTTTCACTGCTATCCGAAGAGGAATGGGCGCCGGAATCTGTGACGGCAACGCCCTTGTCCGCAGGCGTCCAGCCTCGTTTCACTTGGAAAAACATAGGAGGAATCGACAAAGCCCCGCCGGAAAAAAAAATAGCTAAACCGGTGTTTTTTTTCAAGCACGGTTTTGCGCGACAGCGCTGCGTTTTACCACTGTCCGCGCGTTGCCGCGGCCGCGGGGGGGGCATTGCCGTCGCAGAGTGTTGGCCGCCGTCCAGACGGCCAGCCCGACGTCATGTCTCGCCGTGTCTCCCTGTTTCTTATTTTTCCATTCAGACCCCACTCCCTTTCTCTCCCCTCTCCCCATTCCCTTCTATATGCGTGCATTTTTCGTTGACGTCTCCCGTTCGGCAGACAAGGTTATCTTCAACAACGCTCGGCTACAGGATGTCGGAGGCTGTCTAGAGCCATGCTCGGCTATCTTGGGCCGTCTTGAGACTGTCTTGAGACATCTTCGAGGTCCGCCTCTCTCTGCCCGTAGTTCCCGTATCGTTTTCCCTGCTATCCGAAGAGGAATGGGCGCCGGAATCTGCGACGGCAACGCCCTTGTCCGCAGGCGTCCAGCCTCGTTTCACTTGGAAAAACATGGAGGAATCGACAAAACCCCGCCGGAAAAAAAAAAAAAACAGCTAAACC